TGCTTCCCTTCAGTCTCATTTCTGGGTTTGAAAAAGTAACAATTTTGCTCTTGTAACTCCAGTCTAGCTCTTATGACTAACTGAAAGAGAGCAAAGACATGGAGAGTTTAGCTGGATCAACACCAAAGCTTAGGAAGTTACTAGTGGTTGGCTGAGCAGTGGTAGCTGTCCTTGCTTGTGTTCTTAGTCCACAGAAAACGGCTGCTTGTCTTCCTGAGGGAAGTCATATTACCCTGCTCTTGTCAACAGCCACGGTGGCTTGGCTTATGCATCCTGATATTAAACACCACAGCTTGATTGTGTTTGTGAGCCAAAGTTACCGAGCAGTAGAATTTCACAGTGGGTAGAACAGGGAGTTTTTCTCCATGCTAGGAATACTGTAGGTCCTTAGGCAGTGAGAGATGATTTCTTGAGGAATATGCACTCCTAGAAATAGTCTTTATGAAACAAAAGTTTCCAATGAGACTCCAAGCTTCATTGGATCAAAATGGTGTTCCATCCTGCCCAGCATCTTGTCTTCTTGTGGTCTCCAAACACAAACGTTGGAGCCTTGGGTTCTTTTCTTTTCTGGAAATGGTTAATTGAGGTGGGTGGATGCTCATTCTGGAGCGGTGGGAGCAAGTGAGGTGTTTAAATCTGCCTGTACAGGATAAAAGGCAAAAGAAAGCAGGTAGGTTATGTTGAAAAGATGTGGGAGTGATAGCTTATCCTGTTTACTTTTATAATTCCTGTGCCTGGAAAAGGCCACCACGTAAGTGCAGACAGCAAGTAGCCACTTGTAATGGCACAAGCAGAGTACTTTTATGGGTAAATTCTGGATATTCCATAAAAAGTACGGCGTGGAGAAGACCTGTGTGTGCAGTACTCTACCCAAGCACACAGAACTGTGTCCCTCATTGCTTGTCTTCAGTGTTCTGTCTGAGAAAATCTTTGTTTCTGTGCTGTGGCACCAGGCAGCAGAGGTGGACTTAGTTTGCTGATAAGCGTTGTTCTTTGCCGATGGGAAAGGAAGGCCTAGCTGACCTTCTGTCTGCTTTTGTACGGAAAGGAGATAGGATGTTGTTATGACTGGCCCCAGGGGCGGGGCTAACCCAGATTCTTGTTAATAGATCCCTTAGTGAGAATTAGAGTGAAACGACACCGAATGACCAGTGTTTATATATATATATTTCAGGTTTATTTTAGAACAGTTTAGTTGCAGTGGAAAGGAGGTATGTAGCCATTTTGGTTATTACCTATAGAAATATGGCCATATAAAAGTATAAAAACAACACTTAAGAAAATGTATACAAAGGAAAGAAAGAAAGACAGAGAGAGGAAGGGTAAGAGTAGAGAGTGGAGAGAAAAGATATCACCACCCATGGATCCAGAGATGAGACTTGATTGTTGCAATTTAGGTGTTTGTTGGTTGAAGTGATGGTCTTAGCCTTGATCAATTGGGGATGGGGAAATGCCACATAGCATAAAGTTCAGTGGGTTAATATACATTCAGATTCAGGTGGGAACGTCCAGGCATCTCCCCTGGTGGGGAGAGTTTTACCATGTCTGATGCTGCACTGTGGATCAAGCAGAGTCCTCTTGATACTGAGAAGTAGACTGAAAGCAGGAATTGAACAGTTAAAGCTGAAAGCATAAAGAATA